GAGCGCAGACTTCTAACCGCCATCGAGCGTACAGTCCAAAATCAAAGGCTTAGTCGCGTGGTCGATGCGCAGGAATCCTATCAGTGCAAGAATAGGTGAAGGGATGCAGACGTGTAAGATCCCATTATTTACCCGATTGGAATGTTGTTGTTCCGTCCAGTTCTGTCAGGTCTTGTTGTTAAGCTTATTCTGGAAGATTATTGTTAATATGAGCCGGTCTGCAGGTATATGAAGCATTAGAGTAAAGAATTACTGCGATGCCCTGAGATTTTGTTACGTTCAATTTAGTAGTATGTAGCATCGCCATTTTGAGTAAATTAGGATTGACGATTCGCTGTGTCATAGTAGAGGCTTGACGAGAAAGAAATCTGTGCCTATGTTGCCAATGTATCTCATCCGATAGATCAGCATGCAGAGACCTCTCCGTGCGTGACTTAAAGAGTGCTTTACCTGAATTGGATTGTAGTGGATCGTTGCACCTTTCGTCAAAGTTCATTAGCTAGAGCGAGGGGAACCCTTGATCCTTCTCGGTCTGTTAGTCTGCTTTCTTACATCTGCGTAAGATGAAAATGTTGTTCAAGAATGTCTCGCGTAGATTATCTGCAAGATTTAATGGTGCACCATATGAGTAATGAATAGTCTTGTTTATGGGAATATTGAGCTCAATGATGAAATTTAGGATTTAAAGTCGTGTTTTGTTATCTTTGCTTTTTCTTGTATAGAATCTTGCTTTATATAATAGTGAAATGATTATGAGAAATCTTTAGTGATGCAAAATTTTGTGAATTTTAGGAATAACTATTTAAATTGGGTATTGTGACAAGATCAGCAATCTCAAATGGATTGGTGCTCTTCACTATGTGCCAATCTTAAAATCTTGTGAATATGTTTTGGAATGATGTTTGTGAAAAAGAGGATTTTATAAAGTTTCTTGTTTGAGTTAATATAGTGATGTATGTGTGTGTCGACATGAATAGAATAGTCAATAATTTTGTGGAGCATAAATGCTATTGTATGAGTTGGTGTAGAGAATAGAGCCGGCCGGGAGTTAAGGTGCCAATTATCCTTCTTGAGCTTATTGCGGACGAATGTGGAAAAATATTTTTGGGTGTCCACTGTTCTTCGTATTATAGCCAGTAAAGTGGAAAGATGATTTGGGGTGCCCATTTCCTCTGTATTAATAGTGGCAATGTGGGGATATTTTCAGTAACCAAGGCTATAGATATAAGTAGGGTTTTGTGGCTTATGGAATGCATAGTAATTACCACCACCACAAGTTGTTAAAGACTGAAATTGAATAGGAAAAATCAATACATAAAGCATTTCCCTTAGGTATTTTTCTCAAAGAAAAAATATAACATTTATCGTATCAAAGTGTGTGGACTAAATATGATATGTATGATATATAATTCTAAATTGAGCTTAGGTTATTTGGCACTGTTAATGTTATTCTTTGACTTTTAAACTGTTAAAGGTGTTTAGCTGCCGTTCTTAACTAACAAGTGAATGATGGTTTTAAGGATACAGAATGTGTGTTTCAACATTATTTTGTATGATCGCTGCTTAGAGATTTCGAGTCAGTTGGATGAGGAATTGTGTTGTGTTGGATTGAAAGCATAGACCGGAGGCTACGATAAATGTATGCTTGTAGTTTGGAAATGAGGAATTAAGAGAAAACTTTTTGTTCTTGCTATTGTTAAATCTTGCTTATAAAATTGAAGAATTCTTAGGCAAAATTGGATTGAAACTTGATTATGTGCATTATGATTTTCTCCCTGTGATTTCAATCTTGTGAATGTTTGGAAAATGTAATATTTTCCCATTATCCGTCGGAAATTAGCTAGGACAGGATAATTGGGCACTACAGAGACCGGGGGTACAAACAGTACAACAAAAATTCCATTTCCTAAGAAGAATTTACTGAAGGTACTGAATTAACTGTCCCTAAGCCTCAAACCAAGCATTAACACACTCCAAACTCGACCTCTTGGGCCCAAATTCTGGAAAACCATAACTAAATTCAATGTATAACAAGTTTCAAAGCTCAATTTATGAATTCAAGCCCCAAGGGTGAGTCAAATTAAAACCATATTCAAACCCATTTTTCAAGAACAACATTCAAACATGCATGGATGAGTTTTAAACCAAATTAAAAGCTCCAAAGCTTGCTCAAATGAGCTCATTTCTTTTCAAAACCAGATTGAAAACATGGTCTATAACAACAATATGAGCATGCATGTACTAATGCCATGTAATACAACCTCAAAAATGCAACTATACTAACATGCATGCAAGAGATGAGCTTCAATCCACCATTAATGAACCAAATCATGACTTAGCTCTACAAATTAACATGAACCATGCATGAATCAACTTAAAAGACAAAGTCAAAAGATGAAATTCATACCTAGGTTCCTCGAATGCAAGTCTAGAGGTTCAATATAGTAATCTACACTTCAATTCCAAGCAATTCAAGCCAAACCAACAAGAACAATTCTTCTCTTCTCCTAACTCTCCTCTCATGGTCGGCTAAGCTCAGGAGAAATGGCGATGGAAATGTTTTGAGTCAAGATGCAAGGCTCTAGCATCACTAGGTAGTGTGCCACTGTCAAGTGCAGTATACTAAGCGAGTATGAAGTGTATAATTAAATAAACATTTTAATTAGCTTATTTAAATAATCTAATTTAATCTATGCCTAATCAGTTTCAGATAATATACCATAAAATCACATTAATTATGAGGATCATAAAACACTAATCAATTCCGATTTCGGCCCGCCGATAAGGCCTTCAATTACAGTTTTAAACATATAAGTAGTATGAACAGATAATACATACAGTCAAACAGATAGAATGCAATTTTAACTAACATTATACTCAATCCATTCGGTTTCCAATTTCAGTCAGTCAGTTCAATACTTTTTAATCAGTTCAATTATCAGTCATATCAGTTCCGTTTAACAGTAATTCGGTATTATCGGTAATCAATCGGTCATTAATCAGTAAACAGTATGGGGGTTGTTACAGTTCATCCCTTGACTTGCACTAATTATGTTAAGTATTGTTGATAAAAGATCTTGAATACCAGTCATGCAAACTCCTTTATTTCTTATACCATTCACGGAGTATCCAAGCTCACTTCTTTTATATATATGTAGGTGATGAAGTAGGAAGGCGGGTGACGCCTTTAGGTGGTGACTTGCAGCCTGTTTTGCGGTTTTTGTATGTCGGCCTTAACTTGTATTCACGTCGGCAGTCTTTGAAAATTATGCGTTGTAATGTACACATTGTCGGCTGGAGAAGCCTTTTATCAAGATGTAAAATGTATTTTGCTACTTTATTGTATTTGTATTCAAGGTTGGTATATTATGTAAAAAGTTGGTATGCCCATTCCATGACTTACCCGCACTGGCTCTCCCATGGACACTTGTATTTTTTTTAAAAATTAATTGCTTCCGGGCACTTGTGAGCCCCAAAATTCATTATAACTCGTTTGTGGTGTGAATTTGAAAGTTGGCTTTCGGTAATCTCGGATTACTGGCCATACACGGCGCCAAAACTACTATGGGCGGTTTTGGGGTCCGTGACAGTCACATTCTAACAAGAATGAGAAGAAAGAAAGGTCAAGAGAGATGAAAACCTATGTGTTAGGCTTTCAATATCGAAGAAGAAAAGAAGAAGAATGAGTGGAGAGAGAGAGGATGGAGGGCGATGGGGTGAAGCGGTAAGGGACTGGTGGCAGTGGTTAGCAGGTGAAAAGGCAGTTGCGTATAGAGCTAATAGAGGTGGTGGTGTGTGGTGTAATAAAATAACTAGTTTTCAAAGTTTTAAGGTGGAGGATATTTTAGTAATTTATATAAGAATTGAAATGCACAAAAAAATTAAAATTGAAAGGTGTATGGTTGAATCAGTGGTTTAAATACTAGTAAAGTTACAATAAAAAGGCCGTCCATACATCACCCACTTACCGTATCTACAGACGTGACACAATGTCACTCAGCCACAAGAATCTCGTCAAAAAAAAAAAAAAATGTCAAATACCATACTTTTAATAATAGAAAGAATTTGTTTAGCTAAATTAAGCTTATTTTGACAAGTGGTGTTTAGCTTAAAAGTAAAAAATTTAAAAAATTAAAAAGTAGTAACTTATACAAAAAAAGTCAAAAAATTTTATTTTTTCTCTTACTTTTTACATCATAAACTAAATATTAATTTTTTTTACCTCATATTTTAATCAAAAAATTAAAAATTATTAAAATAATATTATCTCAAATAAAAAAAAAAAAAAAAAACAAACAAAAAACAAACAACCAACCTTGCCAACTGGTCCAATTGGATCACGAATGCATCCCCATAAGGGGTGGCAACTCGGGCGGGTTTCCGGTCGGGTTGGGGGTCTGCCCAAGCCGACCCGAATGTATTTGGTAACGTGCCCAAGCCGCCCAAGCCCGACCATGAACTCGAGCATTGTGCCCAAGCCCGCCCGGCTTTGTATTTTGAACTAGGGTTAGCCCGAATTGCCGAATTGCCCGAGCCCAGATAACCTATAGGTAGAATCTAAGGGTAGAAACTAAAAGATGCTAATCTAATGGTAGACAGACTAACAAAAAAATAAAAAATTAAAATAAAAATTAAGATAACTCTTTACTTATGAAGACGTAACAAAAAAAATAAATAAATAATAAAATTTAAGACTAACTCTTTTACTTAATTTATATATATTATATAATTTATATAATATATTAAATTCAATTCGTGGGTTCGAGTTCTCGGGTTAGCCATTAGTTCTGCCAAGCTCGGCCCGAATTGGCAATTCGGGCATCAAAAATTTTTGCCAGCCCATCCAAATTACAGAGATATAATTACCCAAGTCCTAAAAAAACTCGGGCTAGGTGGATTGCTCGGGTTTGAGTCCGCCGAGTTGCACCCCTAATTCCCCACCCTGGGTCCAATTGGATCACGAATAGCATTCCCCATCCCATACCACTCTATAAATACCACTCCACCCAAAACATTCGCAATCTCTGCGATCTAGGGTTTTTGAGTTTCTCTTCATTCCTCTCTTTCTCGATCTACAAATTACTATGTAATCTCCAAATTCTCTCCAAATTCTACCAGAATTCGTCTGATTTTTCATCAAAATCGATTTCTTTGCTTATTAATTCAATCAATTAGGGTGTTGGCAATTCAATAATGATAATCTCTTTCCTATTTCGCTTCTCATCGTCATCGCTGGTCACAAAACTTCGCAATCTTCGAGTTCTCGGCCCTGGTTTGAATCCCTTTGCTCCCTACAACATGGCCAATCACTCCTCTCGCTAATTGTTTTTGCCACTCTATTTTTGCGTTTTCTGTTGTCTCAATCGTGTAAAAAAAAGCCTTGAAATATCTCATCTTCAGATCTTATCTATCGCTTCAAGTTCTATCGGTAGGTTGAAGTTTTATCGATTAAAGTTTTTGGGTTTTGTGTAGTGAGTTAAGGATAAGATCAGTCTTGCTGTTTAAAGCTGGAAATTTGAGGGTTTTCTTTGAATTTGGAAGCTTCGTAGTTTTCTGGCTCTTTTTAATATATAGGAAAAGGTATGCCTCAAGACGACCAGTTGGGTTTAACTCGCCGGAGCAGACGCGTGTATAGGTCTGGGGGCGACAGGGACGATCGAGGTTGGACTGTGCTTCATATTGGTGCCCGAAAAGGTGATCTCAAGGAGGTATGTTTTCTTGCTTTTCTTGATTGTCTTGCTTTTCTGTTGATTATAGAAATAGGGTTTTCCTAATTATAATTCGTGTGCATGTTGGGTTTTTTAAATTTTATTTTTATAAATATGATCTTCTTACTTTCCCTTTATCAAAGAAAAGAGAAAAACATTCTTACTGTTTCAGTTTTTCATGAAGAATTGAATTGGTTATGCATAATTGAACCAAAGCAATTAGGATTTAAGATTGGTCTGGATTCATTAGTTTCCCTAGACTTAATAGTTTTTTATTTTTTTATTTTTATAATTATTTTGTTGTTTGCTCTATTGCATATGTAGTGTTGATGATGACAGATTGCATCATAATATATTTTCATTTTTTCTTAAAAATTTAGCAGCATACAAGTGGCCAAGGGGCTTATGATTCAATCACAAGAATTCCATCCCAGTTTGTATGTTAAATCAGGGTAAAACATTTGGTGTACCAAGGGTAAAACATTTATAATTTACTAAACTTGGTGAAAAATAATCTATGTTAAACTTATTATTTTTCACCAAATATTTTACATTTGGTGCCCCTAAGGGTGTGTTTGTTTGGACGGATTGGATAGGGGGGATTGTAATCCATCTGACTATTAGTCCTGGGATGCATTGTCCTGGACTATTTGGTTATAGACTGGATTTGTATCCTATGTTTGTTTAGTCATAGGATTAGATGTATGGATTAGACTATTTTTAGTGAATTCAATATTTGTTTTGGATATTATGGAAAAGGATAAATGCTCTAATAACTATTTTATCTTTTTCAATTGGTTACTAAGTAATAGCAATATTAAACATAACTTTAATATTTTAATTATTTTTAGCTAGATTAAATAAAAATATATTTTATTTTATTTTTTGCACAATTAAATAAATTTATTTTAAATATAATAATAATCAAATAATGAAATAAAATAAAACATCTATTAAAATTTAAATAATGAAATTAAATAAAATATAAACAAAATTTTAAAATAAAACATCAATAAAAAAATATTTTAAAAAATTAAATAAATAAAACAAAAATAAAAATTAAATAAAATTATTTTATTTTTAAATTGAGATATTTAATTTTTTTTGAATTTTATTAAATATAATACATGATTAAATACTAGAGGGCAAAAATGTAATTTCATTGTCTAATCTCATGGTTCATCTCATGGTTTTTATCCCACCTCCCCATGGGATAAGATAGTCTTACAAATATGGGACTAATTGTCCGGGGGACTATTAGTCCGAAGCAAAACTTTTGAAACAAACAATAGACTATTAGTCCGGTGGGACTAAATAGTCCAATCCCACAGCCAAATCCTTCAAAACAAACACATCCTAAATGTTTTACCAAATATCTCACATGGGTGTAGGTCCCACACGGGACCCACATGGTGTGGGTTCCACACCCATGTAAGACATTTAGTAAAATATTTGGTAAAACATTTAGTGTCCCTAACATTTTTCTAATTTTTACTCTTATTATATTGATGATCAAGGGTCAAGTTTTTACATCACGTGGGTGAATTATTGTCTAACAAATTATTATTTTTTTTCCTCATAACTAGGTGTCCGAGTCAAGCTTACACATATCTTGACTAATCTCAAAATTCACGTAAAGCATCCCTCCACGTGAATCAGAAAAATCTCATGGATCCAACAGCTTTTCTTTACGCCATGTTTAGTTGAGAGATTTTGGAAAGGAAAATGGAAAAGGTAGGTGAAATATAAATAAAATATACCTATATTTCGCCTAGTTTTATGCATAGTTTCTTTTTCTTTTTTCAAATCACTTTCTAAATCTCCTAACCAAATGCAGTATTAAGTGTTAGTTAAAAAGTTTGAAAGTTTGCTTTTTTTTAATAACATGATTGAGGTTGTTTTTTTTACAACACAAAAATAAGTGTATTCAATTGACATAAATTTGTTTTAAGAAGTTGTGATCAATGGTGTGCTTATTTGGGTCTAGAGAATATACTAATAGCTAAGGACACCAGAAAAAAGTTGTCATTTTGGCTTATTATTATTATTATTATATGTATGTGGTTGGATTTCATTTGGAGTGAAAGCTCTTCCTGTTCTCTTTCTCTTTCTCTCTATCTATCGAGTAAATATTCAATGCAAAATGCACGTCGGTTCAATGTTGGTGATAATGGTGAAATGAAAATGAATGTAGAAGTTATTGGGTGATTCAGGTGCAACTTTAGTTTGTGCTCTATCATTATTTGATAAGTGAATGGTCTGATGAATAGACTGTAATACTTTAGTATGTCACACTAATAAAAAAATCTAACCAATGAGAATGGAATAAGTACCTCACATGATGTTGTCTTGAATCAAATTATAATTTCTCAAATGAAAGGAGCAACGGTTCTCTATTGGCTAAAAAATATGATTAAATTTGACGCTTATTATCGGCCATGGACTACCCATTATCATTACTTCCAAAATTAAAATATAAAAAAATGGAAAAACGCGAGGGGAGATTTTAGACATTATCTACAGCAATCTTTATTTTCTTTTTCTTCTTTTAATTAATTTTTATTTTATACAAATGTTTTCAATTAATATTGAAAGTTTTTAAACTTTTTTATGACTTTTTAGTGTGGGTTTAATTATTTAAAAAAAAAAAATTACACTCACCTTCTTTAGGTTTGAAAAAATACAGCAATTCGTATAAATTTAACATAATTAATTTTTCATCAAAAAATATTAATTATATAAATGAAAAAATAATATTATCATATCTTGTATATTGAAATATATGTCTTAGAATATTGATGTATTAGTTTAATGGCCACGATAATATTATGAAAAAATGTCTTTATTGGTATAGCTATTGAAGTGGTGAGCATTAAACATTCTAGTCATCTTATGCCCATAAATATATCCGAAAAGAGTTAATGTGTGTTCCAGCGCACAAATTATGAGTCCGTAGCAATATTCTTTAATTCATCCTTGGGTTGATGTGGGCTTGGAGTGGATTTTTCATGACCATGGTGAAGTCTTGTTTCTCACGCAAGTCAACTTCTTCACCACCCTCACTTACTTGAAATCCCTCACCAAATTAGCCACAAAATACTTTTGAAGAAGCAATGCCAATGTAATTGCAGGGCAAACCCTCCTTCCTGCACCAAAAGGCATCATCTTGATCTCTTTAGCTCCTTTTATGTCAAACACCACCTTCTCTTCTCCTCCCTTCTCACTCATAAACCTCCCTAGTCTAAACTCCATTGGATCTTCCCCACACATTTGGGTCCCAACCCTTCTCTGCCACTGTGAAATTCACCATGGCATTCATTGGTATATCGTAGCCTTCCATCAGTGTCCTCTATCACGGCACGTGGCAATATGAAGTGCCCGGGTGGATGTCTTCTTAAAGTCTCCAACACTATGGCCTCTAAATATGGCATTTTTTTCAAGTCTTGTTCTTTGATCTCCTCTCGTCTTTTCACCACTACATTGATTTCTCCATATAGCTTTTCTTGAATTTCTTGGTGTTTCACTAAGTTAGCCATAGCTCGTTGTAATGTGGTGGTGGATGTATCAGTACCGCCATTGATAAACTCCGAACACAAACTCAGCATCTCGCCTTCAGAGAGCTCTGTTCTTGCATTGTTTGCTTGGGAAAGTCGGAGATCAAAAAGGGTATCGACGTAGGAGACAATGGATTCACCTTCATCTTCCTCTTTTGTATTGTTTATTTTCTTCCGACGTTGTCTTATGAGTGGAACGAGGACGTCTTCTTGCTTCTTTCAAATCTCTAAGAGTTCTTTCCAAAGCTTTCGAAACACAATCTTTCCCAACCTTGGCATGAAGTTGAGCACATTGAATCTTATGAAATTGGCAAGGACCAGTCGTTACACCGCCTCTATGTCTCTTATCACCTTCTCTTCTAGTTTCTCTCCAACACACATGTATAAACAAAACACAACATGTTAAAAATGATCTTGAACAAGGATAGCCTTGTTTTTTGATTCTGGTTGTTCAACTATGTCTAGTAGTTCTTTTTTTAATACATCATATGCCCATTTACGACCACCAGAGTATACATTTAACCGAGAAGGATGTAAGATAGATGCAAGGTTTTGGCGTATAACCTTCCACAATGATCCGTAGGCCGCAAAACTAACAATGCGGTGGTTGCTAAAGATAACTTTGGTGGTTTCGATAGCTTGTGGGCGGTTGGTGAAGATAGTGGCATTTTGGACTAGGGCTCGGTGGGTGAGTTCACAAGTAGTTATGAAGATGGAAGGCCGTGAACTGATATGGAGAGTGAGAATGGGGCCATGTTTGGTGTGTAGCCGGCGGAGGATGGTTTCCAAGTTGGAGAAATCTTGGGAGGATTTGAGAAGCCATAGCATGTTACCTAAGAAGGGTATGGTAGGAGGGCCTGGTGGAAGTTTTTTAGTGTGTAAAAGACTTAGGAGGGAATGCAGAGAAATACAAAGACAAAGAGATGCAAAGAGTATGAACCAAAATTCCATCTCAAATTAAACAGATAACAAACGACTAAAGGTTGACCTAGTAGATAAAGTTTTGTTATCGAGTCTTATTGTCACGCTCTGTAACTTCTTCTTACTCTATTCTCCTCAAAAAAATAACACATCAAGCACAAAGTTACCAAATAAATATGAGAGTCCTCATATTTGGAAGTAGCAGCATATGAAGGTTCTTTAATTTGCATATATAAATGCATATGGTTTCTTTCCTCTTCAAATTAATCACCTTTAATGCTGTCTCCTTAATGACACTTTAAAACCATTAATTATTGGTGGTGGCTCCATGTCGCAATATTGCAAAGCTGAGAAACAAGAGGAGGGTGAAAACTTTAACTGTCATATTGTCAAACAAAATCCTATAGTTAGCAAATTCTAGAGAGTTTGAAGATGTGAAGAAGATGATGATATGTTATTAGAGCGTCATTGGTCCTTTTATGTGCCAAAAACAAAAAAAAAAAAACCCATGTAAACAATGATAATAAATTGCACCAAATAAAGCCTATATTGGATGCCACAAAAACAAGGGCCATTAGTGCAGAAAAGCACCAAACCCTTAACAGTCAGCCAAGCTCAGCAATTAGACTCATGTCTCGGGATTTTGTTCTCCCATCCACCTCCCTCTCCCAAAATTAAATTCCATTAGATAAAAGTATTACAAATAATATGTATATAACTTTCCATCAATTGAAAACATCACTTCAGCAACTAAAAAAAACATCACTTCAGCAAGAAAAGAAAGCATGTGCCAATAAATTGAAAAGAAAGAAAAAATTATATATTAGAAGAACAGAGCATAGATCTCAATCTCCATTGTGAACATGTACAAGAAATGTAAGAATGAAACCTGAAAATCTCGAATACCATACAATTCTTGCAAGTGGGCAACTCCACAAACTGAAATTGCTGCTGCTTATGATCTGGAAAAAATTAACAAAAACAAGTCCAATTTGTATACCAAAGTTATAATAATCGCTATCTATTTGTTTAATGTTCTATACTTCAAATTTTTTCATTTCTCCCGCATTCACTTCTGGTATCAACAAACCACTATTCAAGAAGATACCACCGAAGTCTGAAGTCTATAAAGAGATTGATTGAGTGAAAGTCTCAGTTTTAATCTGCCCTCAAGGATTATTTTCATTGATAAGTTTGTTCAAGAGCATTGTCAAGACAGCATACCACTTCTCCCACCAAGCCTGTTCAGCCATCAGGCTCTCCCTTTCAAGCTTCTCCATTGATTGCTGCTACTCCTGCTCAAACATCTGCCTCTCATAGTTATGCCTCTCTATTGACTCCCTCCACAACATCTCGATCCTCTGCTGTTGTTGCAAAAATTCCTGATGCATTTCCTGAATACTGCTAAGATTATTACCACTAGTATTAGTATTACCCATATTAGGTTGTCTTGAAGCCTTGTCTGATCCAGCTGTCCGCAACCGCTTCTGTAACTTACCCTTCTTTTTTCGAGGATTGCCACTCTCTACTTCATCCTCGTATTTATTCATAATCTGACAATTCTTCAAAGGAAGGATCTCCACCAATTCGTATTGCCGCTCTCTACTTCATCCTCGTATTTATTCATAATCTGACAATTCTTCAAAGGAAGGATCTCCACCAATTCGTTTAACCCTCTTCTTTGCATGTGAAGCTCCAGATTCAGACTCCAGGAGCGTTCGCTGCATGTCTCTCTCTTTCTGTAAATACGGCATGCAATTCCTCAAAGAATGGGCATTGCCGGCCGTTATCTGGATTAGCTGTCTCCTTCCCCTGAGCTTCGATTAAAATACACCCCCTGAGCTTCGATTAAAATACGAATCGCCTCCTATGGTTTTGAAAATTACATTCCACCCCTTGACATTTCTAATTTCGTAACAAATTGCCCATTTTATTAATTAACAGTTTTTAATGATATTAAAAATATGTTTCAATTAATAATTTAGGTAATTTTACTATTGTATATTAGAGCAATTATGAATTTCATTTTTTAGTTAATTCTGTTAAATAAAAAATTCTAATAAAGGGGTATTTGTTATTTTTCAAACCACATGAGGCAATTTGTATTTTAAGCAAACCTCAGGGGGTGTATTTGTAATTTACCCTTTAATCTATTATTTTTGCTGACATTAGTTTTGGGGTTACAATATGGGTTTAAATGTTCATAATCAGGTTGTGGCCTTAACCTCTCAAGCGGCACGTTATAGGATGGAAAATTGGAATGGGTTTCTATACTCATGGCTTCTTGGCATTATCTGTGTTTGGGTAATTAGAATTCAAATTTAAAATTGGGCTTCATACATTTGTAGTGTCCAGACTAATCTTTTGACTGGATATGTATTTAAACACTATTTTCCAATCCTTTGGTTTGATTATTTGTCTTTTAAAGGGTCCAAAACTGTAAATAGAATATTACATTTCATGTGTACATATGATTAAAATTAGTTATGTTCACTATTATGCATCTTCTTCCTTAGGTGCCTTATAGCTACAAAATGTTGAGTTTGGATATGTATTTTTTAAACACTTTATTTACTTAGAGAATGTTAACTGGATAAGTATTTAAACACCGTTTTCCAATCCTTCGATTTGCTTGTTTGTCTTTATTTATTTATTTATTTATTTTTAGAAGGGTCCAAAACCATAAATAAAATATTAAATTTCAGGTGTAGAGATGGTTTCCAAATAGTTATTTTCACTATTCAATATTAGATGTATCTTCTTTCTTAGGTGCCTCGTACCTAGGAAATGTTGAGTTTGGATATGTATTTTTTAAACACTATTTACTTACAGAATGTTGACTGGATATGTATTTAAACACCGTTTTCCAATTTGTTGGTTTGATTGTTTGTCTTTTAAAGGGTCCAAAATCATAAATAGAATATTACATTTCATGAGTGGAGATGGTTCAAATTAGTTCTGTTCACTACTCAATATTAGATGCATCTTCTTCCTTAGGTGCCTCATACCTCTTTATAACATATTCATTTTTTTCAAATTTACATTCCTTTACTGAGGCAATTATCTCTTGTAGCCTTGTACTCTTGTATTATACAAGGGCTTGGTCTAATCTAAAACAATTAAAATCCTTTGGTTCAAGATATTTTCTATAGGCCTGGCTTGCATCATGTTTTGTTATCAAATTGATGTCAAAAGCAAAATAAGAGCCTTTGGTTAAGGTCGTGCATTTGTAATCCTCAATTTAGGCAAGAGATCTTTTGTTTCTTTTGTTAATGACAAATAAACAGTTGACTTCTATTAAAGAAAGACTTGTGCTTTCTTCAAATCTTGCTTTTCATTAGAAGAATAGAAATGAAATGTCTGTATCTTCATTATAAGTTCACAATAACGAGCAACTATTGTGTCAAATACTTTTTCATTCATATTTATTATTGGTTTTATGCTTGCTTACAAACATAGAACCCATTTATTATGCAATTCTCCATTTGAGTTTTTAAGTGTACAACTGCTCTTTCGTTTTGTTTTCTTTTTTTTTTTCTCATAATTTTCTTGCCAATTAATGATTATGACAATGATATAAAGACCTATTTGGTACCACTTATAATCTAATTTTTTTCAATTTATTTGAAACCCTTAAATTATGTAGACGGAAAAAAAAAAAAAAAGCCCTCATATGATGTGATGTAAAAATATCATACCCTCTCTTCTTTTGGCCGCAACAATTTGCCAATCTATTTGTAAAAATTATCTAGATAATTGATTTGTAAAATTGTAGCATGCACTTGGATATCTAATTTTTTTTTTAACGTTAATTGTCGTATATCTGAGTTGTTACATTTGAATTTTATTAAACAAGACTTTTGAGGGTGTTATAGATATTTGTACTACAAAAAAATAATATTTTATAGCTAACTTATTTAACCAAACAAGTACAATTATTTTTACAGATTATTAGAAGCTACACTAAACATATTTATAACTTCATTTAAAATTTTTAAGCTAATAATTTATAAAGCTATGACTTATAAGTGATATCAAACAAGACCATGTCGAAACACTTATTTTTTTTATATACATATTCTAACCTTACAATAATAATTGGTTGTTGTACAGTTTTAGAATGGGCTCAAGTGCAGAAGATTATGAGAGGCATTGCATCTGACTTGGACCACATTCATACGCGTGCTACTCCTGCCATTATACATGGAGATCTTAAACCCGACAATATTTTGTTGGGCCAGGTACATTAGCTTTGATTTGAAACCTTTCCACAATATTCCTATGAAAAAGGAATAGTAAAAATTGATAGTTTCCTTTTAAGCTAGCTCCTAACTTCCAAAAAAATGAAAAAGAAAAAGAAAAAACTTTTTTTTTGATGTATAGGACTACTCTGCCATAATTTGCGACTTTGGGTCAGCAATTCGAGCAGAAGATCAACGTCAAAGTGGCACAATTTTTAGTAGTCTTTGGAAATAATATCAACGTTCAATGGACACTAATTGTTAGGCTAGTCAAATTCTGAAAACAAGGGTGGTAATTTTAGATTGGAACACTTCAGGTATTGAGAGTATGGTTGGGCATTGTTAGATTTATTGCCCTGTAAATTGAATGGGTCTTTTATTCATGTAAACATCATATCTGTGAATTTAGTGCTAATCTTTCTCTTATTTTGGTTTTCTTAGATCTTGAATTCTAGACAAAGCAAACCTCTCTATGTTGCAAATCCTAGCAAACTCTTGTCGTCCTCAACCTAACATATGTAGTTGTGTTGAGTAAAAGATTTGATTTTTGCATTTTAAGTAATATACTAAAGTTAGCATCTTACATAAAGTATAATTACGAGACAAATCAGCAAATATATATGTATATGTATATATATATTTCAAAAAGAATAGTAAAGTGTAAAATGTATGCTCTAGCAACATATATGTAAATTGTAATCTTGATAAAGTTGTTTCCCCTCACTCTCGTCGAGTTATAAAAGCCTTACTAACATGGTCTAGCCCGGTTGCCAATACAAAAATTCTAGTAATTACATTTAAGGAAATTTATAGAACTATAAAGCATTTGAGGTTGTTTGTATACCTAAACCTATACTTTCTAAAAAAATTATCCAATTTTTGAACAAATTCTGATGCATCTGGTCTATTGCCATGGAGACAATCAAGTGCTAGTCTAATAGTTCTCTTGTCTTCCTTCTTTGAACATCCCGAGCTTAGCAAACTTTCGTCGATTAACTTTTTCAACTTAAGCTCTTCATTGATTATGTTTTCCAAGTGCTTTCCGTTTCTGTGAGAATACGGTTTTTTTGTCACTAATTGTAATAAGATGACGGCTAAGCTGTAAATGTCAGTCGTTGGCTTAACACACTCTGCAATGAAGAAGAAAGTAAGTAGGGCTTTTTATAGTTTGCTATATTGACAAGAATAGACATGTGGAAAATATTTGTTTTAAAAATTCATAATTAAGAAGGAAAAATATGTGTAAATGCTAGAAACTGCAGCAAAATAGTATTCTAATTTGGTTTTGAATGTTTTCTGATTTTAAGGTTTCTCATTAGCCCTTTTCTCCTCACTCCCTAATTAGGTTAACCCCAAAACACCCCACCCCTGCTCTCTTTCTGTCTGTCTCTAGTGGTAAGTAGGTGCACTCAGGCCTTGTTTGGGAACAGGCTAATTTAATAACTTTTTGGCTATTTGGCTAAAATATGAGATAAAAAAAACTAGTATATTTGGGATGACTTTTTGGCTTTTTACGAAAAGATGTGCAAAAAATAGAGAGAAAAGAGAATCTTTGACTTCTTGGTATGGGTTGTTGGCTTTTGACTTTTTTAGGAACTTTTTGGCTTTTTAGCTAAATGGGCTGGTTTCCAAACGCGGCCTCAGTTTCGTATTATTATTTTTACATTAAAAATCTTATCACTTGCAAGTGTAGTACATAGTTTATTTGTTCATTTTAATATCAATCGTATGTGATGTTTTCTCCTTTCAATTATTTTCTTCCCCAGTGCTACTAACAATTGTTGTTAAGAGGCATTTAGATTTGTATCAATGGTAAGTTGCAAATATAGAACGAGAATAAAAGAGAGAACCATTGCTTAGAAGGTATTAAGATGTGTGCGTGTGTATGCATATGTATATTTGCAAGGTTATTGTACATTAATACAATGTGAAGTTTTGAAAAGCGCTCTTAGAATTAGATTTTGAAGTTACACCTACATGGTTTTTATATTGAAATATTTTAGTATTCTAGTTGAAAACATGGACCATGCAACTAAGAGGTTAGTATAGGGTTGAATTTGACAAATTATGAACATGGCATTATGCTAATTTTTATAATAGCCTTGCTTATATATATATTAGTCTTCTATGAGTTGATGAAAAGTTGTAATCATGTTAAGGAATAAGATAAAAACGTTATACTTCATGTAATCACATGTTTATTGTTAGAATCGTACGATTCACTATTCAATTCATGATTTATGCATAAATCTATACGAATTTATTGATGAATTTGTGTTGATATTAAAATCAATGGTGAATCACACGATTTACTATTTGATTCATGTTTTACAATTTATTGTGTCTTGAAATTATTGGGTTTGCCAAATTTTTATCCCTATTTTCCTTTATTTATTTATTTATTTTTTAATGGGAGAAAATGTCATAATTTAACTTCTGTGAGTGTAGTACAAAAATAATTAACATTTATGCATGATTTGTTATTATTTTGGTTTGATGGGATGCAATTAGATCAAGTCAAGCAAAGGTTTAAATATTAGCCATTATATATTAGAATCGGAGAATTCCGATACTGTTATTATCAATGATGTATTGACAAATACTGATTGATACATATCTCGATACTATTATTTAAAATCAAAAGTTCAAATAAAGAAAAATGTTAAAATACATTATGCTTTTGAACTAACTTGCATCTAAGAAACAAACATGGTTTAATATAATTTAGGTCAGGTCAGTTAAATCCAGTGATTCCATTAGATGATGTGATCATGCCTTTCTATGACATAATATGTATGAAAATTAATTAATTTTTTAAATATATATGTGATTGTTTAACATAATATTATTATTTATATTATAATTCGTGTTGAATTTTACTACTATTTGACTTACAATTTGTAAAATTAAAATTTTGATTCATGATTCAATTATTGATCTGATAAGCTGTGATTTATATGAAACCGTAGTACTGCCTATATTCTGTCTAGGTGAAGTAATGAAATAACTGATGTGGTATTGGACACGACATATTTATAAGTAATATTATCTGTTATGTGTTATCAAAAATGAAATAACTAAAAGAAATTACTTCATGGTACCTCTAGTAACTGAATACATTGATACAATGGTTCTCTCTTCATGGTACCTCTACTTCAAGGTACCTCTAAGCAATGGTTCTCTCTTCTATTCTCGTTCCATATTTGCAACTTACGATTGTTGCAAATCTAAATGCCTCTTAACAACAATTGTTAGTAGCACTGGGGAAGAAAATAATTGAAAGGAGAAAACATCACATACAATTGATATTAAAATGAAGAAATAAACTATGGACTACACTTGTAAATGGTAAGATTTTTAATGTAAAAATAATAATACGAAACTGAGTGCACTTACTTACCACTAGAGAGAGAGAGGGGGTGGGGTGGTTTTGGGGTTAACCTAATTAGGGAGTGCGGAGAAAAGGGTTAATGAGAAACCTTAAAATCAGAAAACATTCAGAACCAAATTAGAATACTATTTTGCTGCAGTTTCTAGCATTTATATATATTTGTCTTTCTTAATTATGAATTTTTAAAACAAATATTTTCCACGTCTATCCTTGTCAATATAGCAAACTATAAAAAGCCCTATCTACTTTCTTTTTCATTGCAGAGTCTGTTAAGCCAACTGACACTTATAGCTTAGCCGTCATCTTATTGCAATTAGTGACAAAAAAAAAACGTACTGTCACAGAAATGGAAAGCACTTGGAAAACATAATCAATGAAGAGCTTAAGTTGAAAAAGTTGATCGACGAAAGTTTGCTAAGCTCGGGATGTTCAAAGAAGGAAGACAAGAAAACTATTAGATTGGTACTTGATTGCCTCTATATGGCAATAGACTGATGCATCAGAAGTTGTTTAGAAATTGGATAAATTTTTAGAAAGAATAGGTTTAGGTATACAAACAACCTCAAATGCTTTATAGTTTTATAAATTTCCTTAAATGTAATTACTAGAATTTTTGTATTGGCAACCGGGCTGGACTGTGTTAGTAAGGCTTTTATGACTCGAGGAGAGTGAGGGGAAACAACTTTATCAAGATTACAATTTATGTATATGTTGCTGGAGTATACATTTTACACTTTACTATTCTTTTTGAAATATATATATACATATATATTTGCTGGTTTGTCTCGTAATTATACTTTATGTAAGATGCTAATTTTAGTATATTACTTAAAATGCAAAAATCAAGGGCTTGTTTGGTTTGTTTTTGGGAGAGTTGTTTTCGAAAAAAAATTTGGGGAGAGTTTAGAAATTTTTTTGGTTTGTTTGGTTGTATATTTTGGTAGAGTTGTTTTTTTGGGAGTTTGGGATGATTTGATATTTTGGGAGAATTTGAGTAGATGTGGGTGAGAAAAAGTGATTGAGAAGGAGAGAGGAGAGAGAAAAAGTGATTGATTGATGTGTAAGAGAGAGAAAGTGATTTTGAAATTTTTTTGAGAAAAACTCAAACCAAATAATTTTTTAGAAATTTTTTTCTAAAACTCATCTCCCAAATGCAAACCAAACATACCCCAAATCTTTTACTCAACACAACTGCATATGTTAGGTTGAGGACGACAAGAGTTTGCTAGGGTTTGCAACATAGAGAGGTTTGCTTTGTCTAGAATTCAAGTTCTAAGAAAACCAAAATGAGAGAAAGATTAGCACTGAGTTAACAGATATGATGTTTGCATGAAGAAAAGACCCATTCAATTTACAGGGCAATAAATCTAACTATGCCCAACCATACTCTCAATATCTGAAGTGTTCCAATCTAAAATTACCACCCTTGTTTTCAAAATTCGACTAGCCTAACAATTAGTGTCCATTGAATGTTGATATTATTTCCAAAGACTACTAAGGAACTCTTGTTTTTCCATTATAGATGTTTTCAAGTCATGAATGATTGTTTTTTCTTCCAGTAACATCAACAAACACATCTTATCAACATAATCTTATTTCTCTAAAATTT